ATGATTACTGTGGCCAAAATAGAATGTGTGAGAGAACCCATTCAATTGGAATCACAATGCAATATGGTCGTTCTATTTTACAATATACTCTAGTTCACATTAATAGGATACAAAATTCATGTCAAATTCCTAATGTGAACATTCTCATCTTATATGATTCATTTGGGCATGATTGGAAACATCATTTCTCAATCAAGCCTCATACTAAAGCCAGAGATTACTGAATCATATCTTAGAGTATTCTCTCCCTTTACCGGAAGTCGAGATCCTTTATGAATTAATCAAGAGCCTGGACCATACCTTGGAGTCATGCCCCAAAGAGAACTTGACTATTCAGCATGATTAAAGGTCTAAGTAGCTTCCATAAGACAACCATAGCGCCTTAGGTCTAAAGACTAACTTTGCAGTATTGCAACTACGGAAATCTTGTTTTACATGTGGATAAAACTTCCATACAATATTTCTAGGTCGATCACGTTCAGTGCACTCATTCTCTAATGAGCACCCATACACTTATCTTAGCGTCCACTACATGAATGACTTGAGACCAGTCATCCTCCTAATTGAATAGATATAGTGCATGATGGTCTTTACGAATCATCAATAATGTCGAGTTGAGCAATCCTACGACTAGGAACCTTTTAGGCTATGAGCTTGAGAGGAAGGGTCTCATGGATCTAACTTCTTTAGAACACTGTCCTTGTCTCATAGCCTAATGGACTTATCGTTCAACATGTTCAACATATATAGCTGTCAATATTACACTTGTAAACATACTTAAAATCCACACCATAATTGAGATAAGCTTCAATACATATCTTTCAATATATAGGTCTTCAGACACCATGTCGTCCACAACGACGAGAAACCAGCCACCCAGAGACTGCATAAAACCCAACCTCTATCAAACGAAGAATGTAACAATTCTTGGAAACCAAGAACCTTCTTCTACAATTCTTATACTCTAAGTTTGACTTAGGCATCAAACGCCCTTTGGTTCATATGGTACAAAAATTGGGAGTGCAAATTACAGGTGAGACTCTGCCAAATTTAGTAAGAGTCAAATCATTAGTTTGTCCCAGGACATGAGTTAAAGAGAAGTATAGCTACTGGACCTGATATCAAGGTGGGTATCGGACATGCTCGGAACTTTAACTTGGGTTGTATGGAATTCAGGGTGGATGTTGACAGCAAGGGAGGCCCTTTGTCTCATACCGCATACTGTGCTTAAGGACTCAATTGTCTTTCGTTTCTTGGTTTTCAAGATACAAAGGTGGTTTCAAGATAAGGTAATGCTAATGAGACCATCTTTCTGTACCACAATTGTATACCATTTGATGTGAAAGATAATGTGACATGCCAAATTATTTAATACAATTACATATATTTTAAATTTTCGTTCTCACCTAATTAATGATTGATAAGTCCATAAATATACTCATTTATGTACTCTTTTTATTTAGGTTTTGTAGAAGAATTAGATTTAAAAAGGGCTTATTACTTCACTTGTCTGATTTTCAGCTTTTCTGCGCTCTTAGAAGGTTTTTAAGGGAAAATCAACTTTTCGGAGGAATTTTAGCGCAAGGCCAATTGGAGATAAAAGCTAACACCTTGAAGTTCAATATGTGATTTTTCTAGAATTTTCTACCAAGCCAATTGGTACAGTATTACAAGTAAAGTTAGCCCACGTGCAGACAGGACAGTTTCGTACATGTTACGTGAATGTGAAGAAACAGAAGCCTTCCCGAATTTTCCAAGTTACGTGCTATATATGGTTGGAAAGATAAGACATTTATCTTTCTAAAATATATTTTTACTGATTTTTCTAGAAGGCCAAAGATCCCCAAATCGTGCGACAATTGGGTTGAGCTGTATTTCCCTGTGGAGTTAGGAATTGTGATCTTTACTTTCCTATTTGGATTCCTTGTTTACCAAGACTTCTTGGACGACTTTTCAGTCAATTTTAGGGTTTAGGACTTTGATGTAAGTCATATAAAAGGCCAGCCAAGGCCCCATACAAAGCATTCACGTCCTAAGGAGATCAACCGCGCAAGAGGAGAAAGCTGCCAGCGAGTTCTTTCTTTTCCTTTCTTCTTTTAATTTTCAGTTCTTATGTATTTATTTTTGAGTTCATCCCAGAACATGAGTAACTAATTTCTTGTTAGTTAGGGCTTAATCTTGAAGCCCTAAACATGATTTCAATTCTATAAACAAGTTTGAATTGATTTTTCAGTTTCTACAAGCGTGATGATTTCGGTTTCTCTTTGTTATGTGAATTCTAATATTTTGTTTCTTTGAGTAGCTAACTTTGAAGCATGTATCGGAATTAAATTGTTGTAGAACATAGGTCAATTGCCATATTGAATGTGTTCTTGTTTGCAACGAATAATTGGGTTAAGAACTAGTTATGAGAAATCGATTCTTGAATTCCTAATAACAAATGCCATGTTTTAGGGTTTTTGTGACACTCATATTCTCTTTGATCTTAATGGATTCTTGATTGTTAAATTGAGTAAATGCCATACTGGATTTCAATTAAGAATACACGTATTGATGTAAATGCCATACACTTTACATACACTTAAGAGAGAATCATACAACTCGAGTCAAATGCCATGATCTTGTTGTGAGTGTCGTCAGCTAGAAATTGAATTGATTGATTGTTTGGAGGTGGATAGTGAGTCCTAGCTATTGTTCTTGATTGATTTTAAACTAATTTCTCTTAAACTCTAATTTAAATTCTATTTTGTTTTCTTTTATTTACAAAATCAAATCAAAACCCCCTTGGTGTTGGCGTGTGTGTGGAAGTCCTTGTGATTTCAATCTTTATTTTGTTTTCGTGTTTAATTGTGTTCTAGTTTTCTTTGTGCGACATTGATAAACATCTCTTTAGATTACAATCTCTGTGGGAATGACCCTTGCTTGCTTACTATACTATCATTTGATTTATGCACTTGCAAGGTTTTAATATTGTTGATAAAAATTATCAACAATGATCCGATCCCGTAAGATTTATTTTTAATCTTTCCTCTTCTTCCTCCTCCCTCTCACCCTTTTCATACAACAATTTCTTATCATCGGCCCCTTTGAAAGTTCTCCCTCTTCATCATGGGCAGGTGCATTACCATCGAATTTATGACGAATGGAGCACCATGATTCACACATCCCTTCCATTCTACATTGTAGATCTAGATCTGTGAGTTGAGATAAATAAATAGCTCTTGGAATTTGGTACACAATTGCTAGATCGCTCGTCGCCTTGTCGACAGCCACAGTCGCTGAAGACGACGATGACGATGACGACGACGACGCTAATATCCTCTCTCTCTCTCTCTCTCTCTCTCTCTAAGATTTTTTGATGCAACAGAAACTTCCCATCGGTCTAAAAAATGAAATGGAATCGCAACTAAAAAGATAACCCACAACAACTCACCTTCCCAGAAAATTCCTCGCCATGTTTTTCTTGTTTGGATAGGTTGATAATTTTGGAAACCCATCATGATCCCTTTTTTTTAAGACTTCAACAAGGAAAGGTAGTTGGATTTTGTTTCTAAAAATTATATTATTTCATATTTACAAGAACAGTTTAGTTAGATTTCTGAGGGAGTCCATGAAGATATAAAGTTTTTATCGGATTAGCTGCTTTTTCCACCACATTTTAGCGACTAGTTTTTTTTTTTTTTGGTGCTGCGAAATTGACCACTAGTTGCAGGCCGTAAGAGTCAAAGAACAAAAAATGGCAGCCAACATGAGGAAAGGGGTTGATATTTTGTTTAACACCAATAAAAAATCCGGCAATCATAACATTGTTGTGGAGAAGACAATGTAGGAAGAAGGAAGAAGAGAGAGTGGAGATAGAAAGACTCCTATCGGTAATTGTGCTGTAATTAAGGGAGGATAAAATAGATTTAGCTGTGTTCAATGAATTTTGTGCTTTAATTAGAGGAGAATAAAAATTTAAAATATATGTAACTATATTAACTGATTTGGTATGCCACATCATCTTCCACATCAGATGGTATACAATTGTGGTATAAAAAGGATGGTGTCTCTAGCATTACCCTTCACGATGTTAAACGTATCCCATTGCTATTTTGCCATGTGTCATTTAATCTAATTTCCTAATTTTTTTCAAATATTTTTCAATTTATACAATTCACCAAAAATTCATTTAAAAAATCCTACGAAATCCTAGTAACATATACTTTCATTATGTAACATTAAATTTATATTATTTTGTGAAAAAAGAAATAAATTATTTTCGAAGCATTCCTAAAGACTAGAAACAAAAAATAATAAATAGTAGATCATTGTAAAAAATTCCCAAATAATAATAAATTTCAAACAATATCCTCATAATTTATAAATGACTAAGCAAAAATCATATGCCTGAATATAGAAACTGGTTTTGAGCATTAATCAATGACTGATAAATAGTAAGGAATTTTTGTCGATATATCACTTGAACTTATAGCTTAGTTTCAATTTGCCACCTTAAAAAAAAATTTAAGAGAAATATCACCTTAATTTTTCAAAATCCATGATTTGTCATCTCACTTTAACATCATTCAATTTTCCATTCATTTTAAGGGTATTTTAGTCTTTCCATTTTCAAGGGCATTTTTAAAATGGAAAAATCATTATAAATTTTTTTTATACATGCTCAGAGAGAGATAGAGAGAGAAAATAGGGGGGAGGGGGAGGAGGGTTCCTGTGCGATGTGTTTTGGTGGGGGAGAAAGGGAGAGAGGATGGTGTTAAATTCAGATGACAAATCATGGATTTTGAAAAATTTAGGTGACATTTCTCTTAAGTTTTTTTTTTAAGGTGACAAATTGAAACTGAGGTATAAGTTCGTGTGACATTTCTATAATTATATCTATATAGTAAAGAAATAACAAAAGAAAACTTCTCTTTACGAAAAGAACTACTGTTAGTTGATTAAAAGAAGAAGGAAAAAAAAAAGAGAGCTTCGTTTGGTAAAATTAAGAAGAGCCGTGATATGGAAAAGAACTTCTCTCTTGCATATAACTAGAATACAGAGAAGCATTTTTCTGGAGTACCTGCACTTCAAACTAATCCTCCACAATCAAATAGAGGAATTACAAATCTTATGTGTTCTGCATTTCAAGTTTCCCATGGAATATTTTTCAAGATTGATTCAGTTTCAGTGATGAGCAGGGTCGGGTCCTCCAGGACTTCGTCGCATTGTGTGGGAATGGCTTCCAACAACCACAGCATCATCTTCTTGAAACCTTAACTTGTGTTCTTTTGATCTTTGAAGCAATTGTCTCAATAATATGCTAGTCATATTCTTCCTCTCTAGATTGGGGTCCAGGGGACGACTTTCTGACCTAGAAACGATGAGGAAAACCAAGGCAAGGCATAAGTAGAAATTCAGGCTTGCCATTGTTCACTTTAGGCTTCAACCTCAGTACTAAATCAAGCTTTCACAGAGGCTTATTTATAGTACTTTCTTGATTCTTTTATTTCTTTTTCATTTGATGAACTCATTATTAGTGGAATCATATGTGAGATTCAGTTCACTTTGTCTTGTCTGATGGTGCCACAAATTAATTTCTCGTGCAAATTCTGAGCTGGCCACTTCAAATTGCATGGTTTCACAGAAGTACTGTCGATATGCCATAGAATGTGTCAATGTACATCGTTTTTGTTGGAATCCCACATCGGTGAGGTGAAAGAAAACAAATGGGTTTAAATAGAATTACCACACTCTAACTAATATCGAGGCCTTTTGTGGTAAAACCCCACACCTGACAGATTGGACAGGTGGTAAAGTGGGGACAATATCGGTGTTGTTAGAGTGGGATCCAACGGGCAGATCCAAAAACTTCAACAGTTTTTACAAATAAAAAGTATTGACAAGTTATCCATACATTTTCGACAATATCGATAGAATATCAATACATTCACATCACAAAAAGGTTATATATATATATATATATATATATATATATATATATATATATATATATATATATATATATATATATATATATATATATATATATATATATATATATATATATATATATATATATATATATATATATATATATATATATATATATATATATATATATATATATATATATATATATATATATATATATATATATATATATATATATATATATATATATATATATATATATATATATATATATATATATATATATATATATATATATATATATATATATATATATATATATATATATATATATATATATATATATATATATATATATATATATATATATATATATATATATATATATATATATATATATATATATATATATATATATATATATATATATATATATATATATATATATATATATATATATATATATATATATATATATATATATATATATATATATATATATATATATATATATATATATATATATATATATATATATATATATATATATATATATATATATATATATATATATATATATATATATATATATATATATATATATATATATATATATGATTCTCTCAAAAGAAAAAAGGATTCTATATACATCAAACGAGTCTCCACTTCCCAAATGTGTATGTCTAGTATGTTACTTTTGACCTTGCATTTGATTAGTTATGCCATTAAAGAGCTCAATCAGGGTGCCTTTATAAGTTCGGTGCTATAACCTTTTCCCCTTGGGGACGTCGAATGGTCACCCTTTTTATTTCCAGCACTTTCGAAGGTCAACATTGCACGATCTCCTTCAAGTATAATTAACACTTTAACATGCCTGTAGGCTCAAAGTAAGCAAGCGTGCTCGTAGAAATATATATATCTATTTTCGTTGACCTATGGGGAATTTAGATGACATGAGCTGGGACAAGAGCAAATGCGTACATGATACTATATGTTCATAGAATTTGAATTTAATATATAGTTGGAACATGATAACACATGCATGTTGAGGGAGAGAGAGAGAGAAGGCACGAAATGGGCTTAGATGTGCAAATGCTTGCATATATAAAATACATGAGTTTTGTAGAGAATGTGGTGCCAACCTTCGAACCCAAGAACAGTAGGAGTTAGTGCAAGCGCACTTAACCACAAGGGCAGGTTGAAGGCCAATATAAAATATATGAGTGCTGTATCTTATATATATATATATATATATACGTATATAAATTCAAAAAACCTATGAACCTCTAATATATGTTTTATTATGTATTGATCATATTTTTCTTCATTTACCACATTAGGTGGTATGCATGAAAATGAATGCTACTCTTACCACATTCTCATATCACCTAATGTGGTAGATGAAGTGGACAACCACATCAATTAAAAAGTGTCAATAAATTATAAAAGCAAAGAAAATGTTAAATTAATTTTAATTGATGTGGCTATCCACTTCATCTGCTACACAAGATGGTATTGGAATGTGGTATACAAATGTGATAAGAGTAGTATTATTCTTTTTAAAACAATAATGCATAACAACAAAATAATTTCAGTTTGATTTCAAAGAAACATAGTGAAGGGAAAACTAGTTCTATGCATTTTTTCAACGACACAAATAGGCTAATGAACTATCTAACATGCATTTTAACTAAATACAAAGAAGTGGGAAGCAAAACTAGAATCCTAGAAACTCATACAAATCCCATTTAAGTCATTAACTTGTCTTACTTGAACACACTATTGTACCTATTGGAGAGCCATAGTGGATTATCAAGCAAGGAGAGATCAAAAATCACTCTACTTGAACACCTTCTCAGGGTTCAAGATTCGCTCCAATGGTAACTACAGCTCTAATCCCTCTATTTAATTAGTTGTAGAGAGTCTATGATGCAAAATTTCATAAGCCTAGAAAGATTTTGAGTTAAATAGGATTTGTATGAGTTTCTAAGTTTCTATTTTACTTCGGCTTCTTTGTATTTAGTTGAAATGCATGTTAGATAGCTCATTATCCTATTTGTGTAATTGAGAAATGCATAGAACTTAGTATTCCCTTCAGGATCTCAAGTAAAGACAACCATCATTGAATAACTCATCTATTCACCAAAAATCAAAGAGAAGAAACTTGTTTGTAATCAAAACTAGATGACTAGTAGTGGGCCCAAACTTAAAGATGAGGTGGATGATCGAGGGATTAGATCTACCTTCGGTAAGGACTTTCCTTCGGTAGGTTGAACGTTATCTACGCAAAGAGAGAGAAGAAAGTAGTAGGTAAGACCTAAGGCACCGATGTGGTATCGCCCGAAGGCCTTCCGATGCTAAAGTTAGCCGAAGGAGAGAGGAGTTAACTATTGACAAAGCAAGGGCATAAGTGTCAAGTAGCTATTACCGTGTACCCTAGGGGCAAGGGGCTCTATTTATGGAGGTTTTGGGTGTCCTCTTGGTGTTAAATTTCAATGTGGGATTCATGGGAGTAACTTGGGAGGCTGCCACGTGTCATAGAGAATATACCAGTGAGGAGGTATTTCAATGTGGGATTCTTTTCTTGTTTTTAATTTTTTTTTTATAGTCTATTTTTTAGTATAAACGATAGTCTAAATTACAGGGGATGGGTATTTCTCTCACACACACACACACACAACTATGATGCAATGGGGATTCGAACCTGAGACTTCGGGTCTGCAAGTCTATCTTTTTCATTGGCTAGACCACGTTGGCAGTCTGTTTCACTTGGTCTCTTGCAAGAGACTTATTCTTATTGATGCGTAGCAGTGTCCTCTGCTCTGTAGTTTTGTTTTGCATATAGTTTAACCAAGCTCAAGTTCAATTCCAAATAAAAAAAATTACTTAAAATAAGATAAAGTATGCAAGGGTGAGTTAAACACAGTTGTGAAAAGAAAGATATGAGAACACCAATGCATTAGCTTTTTACTGATGGTATAAAAATTGAGATATGAAAGTTCCTATTTCATTTCACTTGAATCTCATTACATAATATTAAGGGAAGAATTCTCATACTCCAATGATCTAGTGTCACGATAACATATAATCTTCACAATCCAACCCCATTACTTGCATCTCCAACTCGAGAAAAACATACCCTGAAAAGTTGAAACAAATAAAAATAGAGGCCATTTAGCACCCAATACCACATTACGAAAACAATTTACAACTTAAAGTTGTGTTGTGTGTTTAGAAATGTTTAAGATCACAATTCCAGGACTGGATAAAATGATCCTTGTTGCATAGATTCAGCTGCTCCAAAATTGATTCAAATAGACCCTCAATTTGTGATACTTGCAAGTGTATGAGTAGTGGGTACGTAGTATAGCATATGTAAGTGCGAGGTCGATTTCACAGGGATTGATGATAGAGTGATCCAATGCAGTTTCTTACACAAAACAGAAATGAAAACACAAAAACAGAAAACAAGAAAATAAGAATCTAAGACAAGATGGTAAGGCTTTAGAATCCACCCTAATCGTCCTAATCATGTTATGGCAGCGAGTATACAAGTACAGATTCATTCATGAAGATTTTTTAAAATAAGTCCCTGGTGTGTAGATCAAATTGCATATATTCTCCTAAAGTATGCTCTAATGCATGATGTTTACACAAAGCTTGTACTCCAGAGTACAATCTATGCATGGTATTTACATAGATTGAAAACACAAAGGAATCCATTAAACACATATGAGAATATCATGTTATGGCAGCGAGTATACAAGTACAGATTCATTCATGAAGATTTTTTAAAATAAGTCCCTGGTGTGTAGATCAAATTGCATATATTCTCCTAAAGTATGCTCTAATGCATGATGTTTACACAAAGCTTGTACTCCAGAGTACAATCTATGCATGGTATTTACATAGATTGAAAACACAAAGGAATCCATTAAACACATATGAGAATATGAACATCACAAGAACCCTAAAGCATGGTGTTTACATTAGGAGTTCTAGAAACCAATTCAGATGAACAATTCATATGCAGTTCATGAGTTTCCGTTTCTGTATAATTGGTTTTTCTGGAAATTGTTAAGCATTTTTCGTTTCATGTACACTTGTTTAGGGATCATTTGGATTTTAGTATGAATGTGTGAAGTATATAGAACTTATACAATTCTATCAACAATTGATATGTCTTTTGATTTTTTTAGTACTTTCATCATGGTTTTGACTTTTTGGTTCCTCGCTTATTAATAGGTGCATTTTTACACAGACTCTGCAGTGCAATTTCTAATTCTATAGAATTGATTTTTTTGTTGTTGTTTATGTTTAAGTTTAATTTTTTAATTTTTTTTACATAATTGATATCTACATTGTTTTGTTATAGAGTAGTTTTTGTATTGCAGTTTTTTTTTTGGTTGCAATTTCAGTTTTTGTTTGCAGTTTTTTTTTTGTTTACAACATTGATATCAACATTGTTTTGTTATAGAGTAGTAGAATAATGTCAAATTACAC